TTAAGCCAGAGAATATCCCAGACTAGTTTCGATCACTCCATTTTTACGCATTCGCCTGTATATTTCGAACGTTCCCAGCCACTAACTTCTCCACGACCCAGTACTAGTTCCTTCATATAGGATATATCACGGGCTGTAGAGATGGATTGCTCGAAACCTCTCAAAATCCTCGAAAGTTACGAGTTTCGAAAATTCGAAAAAACTAGAGAAAGAAATACAAAATTATCGAATAAAAAAAAAACACATGTCATTATTATATACATGCTATTACCACGATATTTCCTGATAAACTTTTTAGTAAAATTAGTTAAAATCTCAGTTGAGAATCTGGAGTTTTAAGGGTTGAAACCATGCACTTTGGTGAAATATAAATTCGAAAACAGGAGAAGACGAATTTGATGAATATGGAAAAGAATATTTTATTACAGCATTTTTAACAGTATTGTCTCAAAAACTCTTTAGAAAATTTAGTAAAAATTTCTTGAATGTTTCGTGATTTAAAAGTTATAAATTGAGACAAGAAAAAATAAAAGTCAAGTAATAAAGTATATCAATGTAATAAAGTATGTCAATTATATCCCCTCAAAAACTCTTCAGTACGATCAACAAATCAATAAATTTATTATACCTAAAAATAGTTCAATCTTAAATTTTTGAATTAAAATTTGAATTAAATACTTTTCCAAATTGCTCTTGCATTTTTGTCTCCATTTTATTCACCTACCGTGAATAAAATTTAATACGAGGACTTCATCGTGACACCCACCCCGGAACAAAACGTTCAAATCACCCCACCATCAACGTTTCATCCTGCAAAGGGTTCGAACTTGAAAAATTCCGAGAATTCAACGAATTTATAAAGCTTCAGAAATTCTGGAATTTTTTAATTTTTCACTTTTAACCACTCCCAAAAAAGTTCATCTCTGTCCCTCACCCTACAGCTCACTTTTCAGATGAGCTGTTCAAATGAAGACACCTAACCTAGTAACTCGAACATGCACCGAAGAAATTGGGCGTGCGACGAATTTGGAAAACTGCTGGGGAAGTGTCGAATACGATATTCGATGACACGTGTCTGGTGTACGTCTCGTAAATATTCCGTCGACAATCGTCAGACGTCCCCGCGAGTAACAACGTCTCTCTCGAGATGGGTAGTCGGTGTCCAATTAATAGGGTGGCGCGTGATCTGGCGGCATGAACGGGGGATAGATCGAAAGTCGTCGCATCACGAATTTCACCGGTGAAATTAATCACTTCGCGGCGTTCCTCCGACTCTCTGCACCCTCTTTCAGCCACCCCTCTGTTCTTTGCAGCGACGCTTGAACGAGACTGCCTCCTTTCTGTCGTTTTTTCGTCGACGTTCCTCTCGACTTTCGAATGTCACGTGATTATCCTTATCATCCTCCTTTTTTCATTCGATTCCATTTTTATTTGGTCTCCTCCGATTTTTACAAGACACGATTCGGTTTATTTTTTATTCCATTCCTTCCCTTTCCCATTTGGCTTGATTTAATTTTTATGTGGTTCCTTCGGTTTTCATTTGTCATGGATTTATTTTTTTATTTCATCCCTTTGGCTTTCATTTGTCATGGATTTATTTTTCATGTGGTCTCTTTGGTTTTTGTTTCATTTGGTTTAATTTTTATTTTGGCAAAGGGGGCTTTTATTTGATTGTTTTAATTTTTATCTCGCTTCTTCGGTTTCCGTTTGGCTTGTATTAATTTTTATTTGATTTGTTTTGGTTTCACTTTTACTCGGTTTGAGCTGGTTCTTGGTTTGGTTTATAATTTCTTTTTCGAGTGGTGTCTTTTTGCTCGTCGATACTACGTCGAGCGTTAATATTATTAATTAATGTTGGGCCCGCGGGATGACTCCCAATGAATTTCGAGTGGCGACGCCGTCGCGACGGATTCACGTTTCTTCGTTAGGCGAGGAGCGTGTATAGTAATTAATGACGTGTTTCGCCGACTCGTCGCCCCCTTTTTACTTGTTTTTCTTTTACTCTGGATTTTTACCCTTTTTTATATTTTTTTCCTCATTTCTTTTTTAAAGCAACGAGTGTATATAGGAAATACAGCTGTTTCGTTAGATTTTGTGCACACGCATTTGCCTGTGTGAATTTCGAGATGCTTTCTGCTCTTTCGAGTTTAGGAGTGTCGCTGCCATTCAGGAGAGTTCTATAATGCTACTTGCGAATATTGATTTCCTGAATTTATTTTCATTCGAAAATATCGGTAGTTCTGACATGGATTTTTTAATTATAAAATAAGCCTGTGATATTTCGAAGGTGCATACATTTTGCTTTTACAATTACATTGCAAAAAGTCAATATCCATAGTTTATTAAATTAGTATATTAATTTTCTTAATATGCGTAGTATTAATTTACATGTTATTAAATGTATTATTATGTATTATATTTTCAATGTATATTAATTTGTAATAATCTCAAGTATTAATTATTGTATCGTACTTCCAATATTATTGCCATTTTAGCAATTTCTTTTAATTTTATTTTACTTTAAAAAAGAAGGAGTTGCTCTTCAACTTTTATTTACTCCTCTTGAAGAGAAGTTCTTTATTTAAACCACTGCATCTATAATTCGTTCAAGTGCAACTGCACGAAGCTGGCTTTCCGGTATTAAGGTTAATTAATAATAGACGATGAATAAATTCGTAGCAAATGTAAAACAAGACCTTGTTAAATCTTAACGAGCACATTCGTATAAGCTGCTCGACGAATGACTGAAACATGTGTCTTTTGATGCGAACGAGAGTAATTTAAATGAATCATATGCATTGTTATATTCGTGGGTAAAGTAAAATTCCGTTTTCATCTGGAAGGAGGAGAAGAACTTTGAAAAGTGTATTTCGTGGGTAAAGCATGGCTTTTATTTTACATATTTATTTAATCGTAGGAAAAATTTCATTTGGAAGAAGGCAAAGGCACGTGGAAAATAAATTTTTCTGCGGTAAGAGTGGAATTTTTACGTTCGGCTGAAATATAAGTAACGAGGGAAAAAATTGATGTACCACGAACGTTGTACGAGCATTAATAATTACATATTCAAATTATTATTTCGTCTATTAATTAATTTGAATTTTTCATGCAACAGATTTTTCTCTCTCTCTTTCTTATAATTATTTTACATTTCATACATTATGATAATTTTTCTTAGTAATGGTAATTTTAATTTTTCATGGTAATTCAAATTTTATTTCTCAGGAATTCGTGCAATTTCGGTATTGATTTACGTGTATATGTATTTAAATGTTATTAAAAATTTATCTGTGAAATGCTTAAAAATTTTTATCTTAAAATTTATTATATGATCCACGGTTGTGTTACTTGTTTGCACTTCGACTTTCATAAACCAGGAAATTGAAATGTGTTGTAAAATACGATGATAAGAAAAAGGCATTAATTATGAAACTTCCTTCGAATGAACACTTTCTTAAATACTTATTTTACGCTTCTTTTTACGCCTTTCATTTAAAAAATCGATCCGAAAGTTCGTAATCCTTTAAAGTTCTACTTTCTCATAGATTTATAATACGCCGTTAAGATGCAGAACAACATTTCAAGTTTTTCAAATCCCGATCAGACCTTGGAGTTTCACTGTTTAAAATGGATTAATTGAATGGTAAAAGCGGCACAATCATTTTCCTAATTATATTAATTCTGACAAATTTTATTTATTAAATTGTAAATAATGTTACATTTATATTTGTATATCTATATATTTAAAGAATATTCTATTAATTATAGGTTAATTAATCTTTTATTTCTTATTTCTATATTACTCTGAAAGCACCTATTCGTTAATTTATTCATTATCAAATTAAAATTGCATAATTAGATATCACGTGCATATGTACACATACTCGTGTATGTATATATATGTATAATATAATGTAATATCGACAGCTACCACCACGAATTGCGATCAGGTATCGAAAACAGCCCCTCGCCTCATTTAATCCCCTACTCTAAAATAGGTTACCCACTTTAACATAGTTTTCGAAATATTACCACATATAAATTAAAATAGTTCACCCTATATTTATTGTACAACAAAATGAAGACAAATATAACCAAAATATAATAAATATATAATATGTGAAATGTGCAGTATACATCGTGTATAGGATAACGTGTGTGTATAATTTCTGAAATATTACTATTTATAAACCAAAATAAATTACTCCATACAGAGTGTCCCATTTGAAGCTTCGCACCCCATTATTTCTTAAAGTATAGTTCATTTCAAAAAATTTTTCAAATGAAACTTACCCTCTTTTAAGGAAGACATCTTATAATCACCATAAATTTTTACTAGCTGAACGTGTTTCGGAAATTTCAAGGGTCCCTTGGTTTTTTAATTGGAACTATATATATATTTTTTTATGTAACCGTAGTTTACACGGTAGTGCAATTCATTGACCTATAATACTTTGATCTTTCAACATCGTTCAAGATTATTAACCCTTTGCACTCGACGACTTTTTCGTTACAGAAAAATAATAATTCGAAGACTTTCTGTCATAGAGTCGACGATATTTTTAAAATGGTAAATGAGAAATCATGTGCAAATTAAGACATAGAATTATTTTTCTTCGACATTCCACACATCGTTAGGTAATTTTAAATTTGATATATCAATTAACGTCGATCCTTAGAATCTGATTAAATGGTGACTGAGTGTCACCTCTCTAGTGCAAAGGGTTAAAGTTATTTGAAACTCCTAAATTATTTCATCGTATACAGCATTTAACAATATTCCTACAAATATAATTAAAATTAAATAAATATTATATATTTATAATATATACTACATATATGTTGCTAATAATTAGCTATTACTCCACTGACGTCTCATCTTCAGCTCTCTCTCCATGAAACATAACCTAGCAATGTAGGCCCATGGAAATCATGTGACGTAAATAACGTCTCACAGAATCGTACCACTGCACGTATGAATTTTCTCTTTTCCGTTCCAGATACCGTCGTACGACCCGAACTCTCATTGTCTGTGCGTCGCCGGCGAAGTATATTGTTGGTGGCAGAATTACAATCCGAGCACCGATCCTTCCGCCGGCCCCTCGTTCCTCCCATCGACGACGATAGAAAGTAATTACACGCCGTCGCTGGAGGAAAGCACGGATGCCGTCGACAGTTTGGAAGCTTCCGGTGATCCAGCGGAGGAGCCCTCTGTCGAGCAACAGGGATACGCGGAGATTAACGCGACCTACTCGACAACCTCGCAGCCAGTACCGACTACGTGTCTCGTGATGGGTAATAGATCAGTCGCAGTTCGTTTCGCTCGATTCTTTGCGCGGCCGCGAGCTATCGATTTCCCTGGCTAGAAACCGTTCAGAGTTACGGTGCAATTAGTCTCGCGTCGTGCGGACAGATTCCTATGCGAGAGTACAGCGAATATTGGGAGAGCAGAGACAGAGAGGCGCTGTTCATTGACTTACAGAAATTCTCGTCTCGGTGAAATATTTTGTTCTGGGAGATTGCCGATTTCAAATAATCTTTACAAAAGTGAATATTATCGTATCAATTGTCAAGCATCCTTTATATGTCCAGAGAAAGTGCAGTTCACTGACACGAACTTCATAGAAATTTGCGTCCGAGTACAGTACTTTGTGTCGAAGAGTAAGAGACTGGACATGTGGACTATTAGAAGGAAAACGTGTTTGATTATTTTTCTGGTGAATGCGTTGATCGATTGGCGAATTTTATATGTTTGTTTTGTTTATCTTGTTTAAATGTTTGAATTAATTCTAGCATCAGCGGTGATCCCATTGCGCCGTTGATATATTTAACGCTGATGGTCCCTGCGGCGCCACTGTCGCATCTAGTCTTGATCATTGATGATCCCTGTGGTGCTACTGTCAAATTTAGTCTCGATCGTTGGTGATTCTTGTGGAGCCAGTGGCAAATTTAGTCCTGGATACTGATCATCCCGGTGGTGTAACTATCAAATTGGCCAGTAATGATCCCCGTGGAGCTAGTGTCAAATTTAGAATTGATAACGGCTAACAGTCCTGCAACGCCATTGTCGCATTTAGTCTTGGTCACCTGTAATCTCTGTGATGCTACAAAGTTAGTTACTAATGATCTCTGTCAAATTTAGAGTGATCCATGGCACCATTAGAGTTGATCACTGATAATCTCTATGGTACCACTGTCACATCGAGAATTGTAACTAACAATCCGCACGATGTCATTGTAAAATTTAGTCTCAATCATGGATCTCTGGTGGCACTACCATTAAATTTAGAATTAGTTTCTGATGGTCCCTCTGGCGCCACTGTCGAATTTTGAGTTAATTACTGCAAGTTCCCGTGGTATCTCTGTGAAATTAGTCATTAATAGTCCTCATGACATTACTGTCAAATATAATACTGTTTAATACGACTTCCATAACATTCAAAAGCGTTCGTTGTTTCTTGTGAATGATTCATAATGAGATTTTCGACTGTGAACGATGGATTTGAATTTCTTTGATACACTAATCAATTTTTTATCATTCGATATTTAGGAACAGCGTTCGCTTATCGCAAAAAGCGAGAGTATTACGGGACAAAATCGACTACCTGTAGGATTTGAGGTACAACAGCGGAACTTTGCCAAGAATATATAAATAGTAATGAAGCAGCTGAACCAACATTAATATATGGAACAAGCATTAAGCACACATTTTTATTTATATTAATGACAAATATTACATACATTGAAAATATATTTTTTCGGTGTCTATCGTGATGAAATATCCCTTTAAACGTCAACAAAAGTAAACAAGTTTATAGATAAGAAGATCTCTGTATATACTATCAAAGAACCAATTTTAATATAAAATCTATTACAGACATCGTGTTTTACCTGGTGTACGGGTTCGGCAGTATATTTCCTGATGAGTAATAATAACACCTAAACGGTATTTCAAGGATTAACCCTTTGCGCTCGAGAGACGCCCTTCAGTCGCTATTTGATAAAATTTCGAAGCTAGATATTCACAAATATGTGAAATTTCAGATAATGTAACGGTGTGCGAGGTATCGAAATCAAATAATTCTACGTGTTAATTATCATACGACTTCTTATTCTCAGAAAAATATCGTCAGCTTTGTAACAGAAAATCTTTGAACTCCTGTCCTTCTTTAGCCAAAAAATCATCCAGTGCAAGGGTTAACAATTTCCAAAGGCTAATGCTTTTTCCAACCTACTCGTGCATAGAAATGGGAAATGTTCTTAAGGAATCGTGTAAATAAAATCAGATATTCTCAAACAACTTGCCCGTTAACTGATACAGAAAAATCAATGAAATGTAAACTAACCTGTCCAGACTGACATGAAATTCTGATTGCAGGAAGGGAGTACCGTGAGGGCGAGGTGCTTCCTCACTCGACCGGAAACTGTATTGAATGCAACTGCGGATCCGAGGGTCGCGTGGAGTGTTCACCACGGGACTGTGTGGCCCTTCGACCGGAGATACCAGTTGCACCGGATATACCAGACGCTCCGGATGGCGACTTCGAAGTGTTCAACCTAGCCAGGGACCGAGGAATCGACGAGAGCTTCTAAAGAATCCGATAATAACGGTCGTCGCCTGTTCGATGAATTTCTCGGACGCGTGAAACACGAGCGACTCGACTTTCGCATAATCGCGACCTTGGACGAGGTTCACGTCTGTTGTCTAGATTCTTTTCTTCCTTTGTTGGTCTTCGGCGTTTGTTGATCGATATGAGTCATTTGTATAAAATTAAGTAACGTTAAGATCATTTTTATTGACCTTAGAACGAATTGTTGAAAGCGTAGGATGAATCTGTTTTTTAAAACGAGGAATCGGAATTGGAAATTCGGGATAGTGATAATTGTAATGTGATATAGTTTGAGGTACTTGTAATTTAGCGTCGTTGATTTGTCGTTGGTTTTTAAATAGTCTTTTGTAAGTATTACGATGGTTGTTAATGGAGAGAATAAGAAAGATTGATTTTGCTATTTACAAATTATTTTAAAGTGTTATAGGATTTTAAGTATTTGTTGATATAATTACTGTTTTAAAGGTAATTATTGTTTACTTCTTAATGTAGGATAATTGAGAATTAAGTACTAAGTTTTAGAAATTTAGTAGTAGACAAAGTTAAGTACAATTTCGATAATTAATTATTGAGGTGATTATTGCTTATGTTATTATTCAATATAATTCAATAATGGAAGTAGTAGAAATAATTGTTCTAAATATTTGAGGAACATATCAGTACCTAGTTAATTGTATGTACGTAGTACATACTATAGTAGTTACAAAATTAAATAGGATTTCTTCTACTATTATTTTCATATCGATCAACAAAATGTTAATATTTGTGCCATACTACGTTGAAAGTTTCATTTTAAGTAAATAATTAATCTCTTATTGACCCTTCAACCAAATTAAACGATTTGCTCCTTAAATTACTTGCAGAATGAAATTCGTATTTCTATCGAATGGAAACAGTTATCCAAGCATTTCTGAATGCTTTTCACAACATTTCAAAAGTTGCAAGGTCGAACGCGAAAAATATTCTGGACCAAAAATGATTACACGGTTGAAGGACCTATAAGTACTAATTAGTTTAATTTATATACCTTCTTATTCGTGTTCTCTCAAGCTTCGAGCTTCCTTCCTTTTGTCTGAAACGTGATTCCGGTTGAAAGAGTTCGATGAAAGGGAAAAAGAGAACTCCAGAAAAATCGATTACCAATAATGAAACAAAGGAAACCTTAAACGCTTTCTTTTCACATACTTGAATAATTAAACGCGACACATATATATATATATACTATAAAAGTAGCGAACCTGTAACTGCAAAAGAAATGATATTACTGCAAATTACAACGATGATCAAGAAGTGACCAAGGTTCAGTATCGACGTCGTCGAGTTATCGTGGTAATAATCAGTAGCTTAAACTGGCCTTGGCGAAGCCTAATAATATATTTATGTTTAATTTAGTGATCTAGTGAGATCGATAGGCGGCACTAAGTCAGGATCCTCTTCCGACATTTACGAGCAGGCTGTAATTTATTACCCCAGAATTTCGAAACGTTTCACTGGCGTGGGCCTAATTTATCGAGCGATGGATCTCAGGAATGATCCATCGATGTACCGATTAATCGTAAACGAATTCTGTCTAGCCTAGTACTGCGTATACAAGTCGCATTTCTTCAACAGGATTGACATTATCATTGTTACCACCTACAGCAACCTATTATCACCTAAGAAATGTTAAGAATCTCGAAAGAATGTTCCTCACGCTAAAGACCTTCAGCGCCACGAAAGTACCAAACGATAGGCTAATAGCGATTAAGTACTCGTTCCATAGGAACTCACTTGTTTCTAACACTTAATTATTCGAGCAACTCAAAGCAGTACGCCTAAAATGTATCTCAGAACCGTTCTGTTATTTCTCTTGCGTTCCACGATCCTCTCTTTCGACCAAAGAAGAAGACACGCGCAAGCAAGATAGATCCTCGAGCGCACAGATTTTTCTATCAGACGATCCAGTGACGATCTATCTTCATACCGACGAATCCTCGTGACGATCGTCACCAATCGTGATCAAAGTGAGAGCTCTGAGCCAGTTTGGCTGCATGTTTTCTATGTAGACACCCAGGGTAGATGTTAGTGAGCAGGTATGAACGATAGCTCCCGTGCGCTTTAGTTCTGTAACAAAGAAAGAACCTAAACTGTTCATCCTCGAATTTAATGTACTTTTGCGCCACGATAATATATAGGTTTCTGATAAGGTATATTAAGTATTAATTGTAGTTATTCGATAACTTTGAAAATGTAGAGAATTCAGGCTTTCCTAAATTTATTGAAGATATTTGTATATCTGCTTTTGAAGAGCTTCTCTCACTTCGTCGTTTTAATACAAAGTCAATTTTTATTTGTTTCTTAGATGATGTATTGCGTTGCTGACATTTTATGGTGGCTTGGAGTGGCGTTGGTCCCTCATTGAACTATCTCTTACCTGTCTGTTACAATAATTGATGGCTTTGATGAGAAACTGAATAGTATGGGCCCTTTTCTGAGCAAAGTTGTCGTAATTGATAATTGTATCAGTATCCATTAAAACTAGTCATCAAAGTTATATATGTTGCCTTTATACAAATTAAAAATATTTGGTCTGTCTTTGGAATTATCGAATAACTGCAATATTAATATTTTTCCCGTATTACCAGACACCTGTATACTATTATCATACAAAGGCACATCAGGATCGAAGATGCTCAATTGTAAGGTCCTTCCCTTATAAATTATATAGGGTCGGTCTAGTTCTCTCATCTGTTGTACGATGTTTTGTAACGCGTTTCAAAAAAAAAAAAAAAAAAGAAGGGGGAGGAGAAAATGGGAGAATTCTTCCATGTTAACGATACAAACAATGAACAAAATATTGTAGACGTCGGCCTACAACGTACGAATTAATAAGTCGGGTACAAGAAGACCGACCTATTACAGTCGCGGACTCGAGTACCCGTTTTAAGAGAAGAAGCATTTCAGAGCTTGATAGTTCTCGAATCTTCGTCGTAAGGTCATAGATGATACTCGTGTCATTCATATCCTTCATCATATTCTAGTCGAGATGTAGTCATATCCTGTTCATAACCGTTTAGCACAGACCCGTAGCACGGGTCGTAGCGACGGTAACAACCTGTACTTCTGCGAAGTATGAACTGTACGAGATATTCAGGAAGTTTATTGAGCGAGCTCGATTGGCTTGTGGCTTATGAAGAGGCAATCTGCTGAAAGGATTTTCGCGCAGGCTAATTTGTCTTTCGATTCTACTGCCGGTATAAAATAAAATTAGTTTTTAAACAGTATGTCCTCAGGATGCTGAAAATTAGGTACCAGCCATACTCCACGAGTTTGTTTAATGAGGTGAAAGATTGAAGATCTTTTTAAATTAAAAATATGAAATTGGGAGAGGTAATTTATAGGAACAATTAATAATAGATGGCTGTAAAAAGATTTTATTTCTGTGTGTTTTATTTTAATATCTAATTGAAACATAATTTCTTTTTTTGTGGAAGTTTTGTTCTTATTGGAAATGTTAGATTTTATTGAAGAAATTATGGAGTATTATGTATACTTTCATGAAAGAAATAATTGTACGTCGAAACCACTTATTTTATACAAATGACGTATAGTTCAAAGTATTATTAAAAATCTATATTTTCGGCAGATTTTACATTTACGTTATTTTGTACTATCTAATTAACAGTAATCTTTTCATGTCCCCCAAAGGTAATACTCGAGTTGTTTGTTAAATTTACATCGTCTCCTGAGAGAATAAAATTGATTACTGGGGAATGAATAATATAATTCGATATATCCCAATTGGTGAAGGATTGAACACAAACAAATATTGATTTGAAAAGCTCTAGACTTAAATTATTAATTTAAAATTATAATTTATCCCACCAACAAGGGTAATCTTCCTAAAAATTACAATATGAAGCCAGTCGCTGATAATTATCGCTTATTTCAAAATAGGTAAAATCTATTTGAATTAAATTAAAATTATTTTTAATCAATTTCTTCCTTTTTAATTTAAAAAATATTTTTCAATTTTTCAGACAAGCCAATCCACAGACCTCAAATCGATCTGATCGAACATCTCGCACATTTGCATCATATCACGAATGAATACACTATCACGAAGAAAATACCAAAGTTTTAAGATGAGCAGATTAGCATAGTGAACGACTTAATGTAAGAATTAATTAGCGAACGTCGAAATGACAAAAGCGTAGAATGGGAGCGAGTTTTCGAGGATAGCCGATATTCCTAATCCCACGCGCAAATTAATCAGTTAATTACAGTACGTATATCATTAAAACCACGTTACGAGGTGAACAAAGATTTTTCGGTAGAACAATGCTTCTGCTACGTACGAGGCGTTAAGAAAAAAAAAAAAAATATTTAATAAAAATCGAAATGTATTTCGCCACCTGAATTCAATCTTAAATAACATCCTGATCTATATATGTATATGTATCCCTGTTAAGAAGAAAAGACAAATGGAAAATCCTGTGTTGTATGGATCAACATGCATAATATAATTAATTAATACATACATATATATTATATATTCATATACATATACATATATATATATACATGTACACGTACCTATATACATTACACGAGGAACCAAATATCAAGAGATAATATTGTACGTACCTATGCATATAATATATACATATAAATTATAAATAGGTGTAGGATACCTAAGCGTTTCGACTTGTTGTGCACCTTTTGTAGATATGCATCCGCATCTTTGTTTCACGGTACGTTTTTCCTGTGTAATTGCGGCGTTTCAATAGTCGAGCCTACTCATCGCAAGAGACACGGAATTATTTCGAGAAAAAATAAAAATAACTCCGAGTTGTCAGCTACACGCATTCTATAGTCCGCAAATATATATATGTAATATCGAAAGATAGATGGATCAGCTATTTCGAGTATTTTCACTTAATAAATCTGCAAAATTAGTAGGATCTATTTTGAATAGAGAGTAAGATTAATAATTATGCGAAAGAAAATATTGTAAAAGCAATTTTACTTTTACAAAATTAGATTGAATAATTACTGATCCATTATTTGGCATAGAATAACAATTATTAAGGATAATTCTTTTCTTTTTCTTTTCTTTCGTTATTTTAATTCATATTGTTGATTTATCTGTTATAAGAATAAATAAATAGGCAAATTTATCTATTACCGAAGAATTCTCCTTGGCAAATTGTAAGCAATAATAGTTGGAATTGTATGTACAGAAATTACCTGTTCCAAAAATGATCCATCTATCTTCGAACGCAATGTCACAGATACATTTGATTATAAAGAGAATCTATCTCAGCGTACAAATAGTTAACGATCTTATTGTAGCACCGATTACGATACAGAATCAGATACGAGGAGAGCGAAGGGTTGTAATTATACTTTTACGATGACGAGTTAATTGTTCATAGTTAGTCGCATAGTTAGGTAGAGGATCCATTGTGATATATACATTCAAAAGGTAACTTTGTCTAAAAGTTTTACAATACATATGGAGAAGATACGACATCCTGTCGCAAGGTTTGCCGTAAACTTCTGCGAACGTTCGTTCAATTAGTTGTATGCCATAGAATATCGTGCAACGTTTCGAACAGTGTCATCGGGTTCGCTTCTTGCAACGATTCAAATTTATTGTCGTACACGTTAATCGCATTTTCGTTAACGAGCCCGCGTAATCGCATCACCATGACACGGCCTGTACACGTATTTACTTTTAACCATAGGCGAAATAGGAAACAGGATGATCTCGAATGTCGTGACCACTGTCGATTAACGATCGAGACTACTATTTTTTAATCGTGTCACTTTTCGAGGCAACCGAGGACAATCTGTGCATTGTCGTTTCATAGCGATTTGTTCCATAGAGATTCAAACACGAAATTGCGGGAAAAATGGAAAAGCGAAAAGAAACGAATGGAAAGAAAAAGTGGGATCATCACGAGATCACGCGGGACCATCATGGCAGTTCGTTTTTCAGTTGATCTTTTACGTAACGATCTCGTACGTCTTCCAATCATCCCACACACTGTTGTGTCTGTCTTGTACCCGTGGGATCTCCTGTCTTCTTAAAAAGGGTTGTACGCTAAATAAAGGAAGATCTTACGATACATGTAATCGATTTCAATTGTCACCCACTTTTTTTGTCCTTTTTACGGTCATGTTTCAGTTACGTTATTATATTTTTATTCTTTTATGAAATTATTTGTATTTTTAAATAGTTCCTTTTTTTCTATTAAATCGACCTGTATTACTTATAGTTAGTATATTAATTTATATTATTATTAGTTTTATTGTTTTTAGGAAACAATTTTTTTGTATTTCCGATAAAGCTTGCAGAAGATGTAATTTATACTTGTATATTTTTCAATTAAATATTTATAGTACACTTTTTGTTTAGAAAAAGAATATATGTAAGATAAATATCATTTTATTTAATTCCAAGTTTCAAATATACTTCCCAGGCAGGTTCTTAATAAGAATTCCGTCTACTGAATATAAAAAAAAGAACAATTGTAATTTATAGTAATACAATGTTTGGAAAATCTTTAGCAATAATTGATTAAAACGTGATCATACTAATTATGAATTATTCGCTGAAATAGAATGGCTGGATTCATAAAAATCAATAAACTATATATATATATAACATTGAATTTAATGATTTTATATTAATACGTAACTTTATCCTTACAACGAAATTAATATCATTTTTCCAAGAATCCTATTGATACAAATTTCGCACCGTTTGCATAAATTCCACTGATTAATTGTAGTAGAAATTGTGTTATTAAATAAGCTTAATATACCTCTACGGTAGCAAATTAAATACGGCGCCAATTTTTCTAAGGGTAGAAAATTCAAGCGACATTCGATCAGCACCATCTATGATTTTGGTCCAATTGAGCAGAAAAGTGATAGGAACATAGAATGTATAAGGAGGTCGTCTATACCTCGTCACGTGGTAGACAAGGACGGAAGACGGGTGGAAAAAGACAGAAAGGCTCCGGCAGAGAAAATTAACTAATTACGCAATTCCGGCTATTAATTTATGAACTTTTATAATTTTATCGCAAAGCTGAAACTCTGAGCAACATTCTTATATATCTTTTGTGCATAATTTGTTTCTAATTTGATTATTATTAATAATTATTTAACGGCGTGGCTAATTTGAAAACAACGCCGACCATGATTATTGGGTAAAATATTTAATTATATTCAAAACTAGAAGAAAAATATGATCAAAAGTGACATGAGAAGATGCGCAAGGACATGATTTATATAATGAATGCATAAAGCTTCATAAATTAATTACATAAGGGATAGTAATTAATGAAAAACCAATGGCGTCTTCGACAATTTTCGGCAACAATTCAAACACTGCGCAGAACAATTATTAATAATTAATTAATTAGGGACAAATTTGTATCGAAAAATATATTGGAAAGTTCTTCAAGGATCTGGCTTTACGATGCAATTATAAAAGTTCATAAATTAATCACAGATATTGAGTAATTAGTGAATATTCCACTGCCGATTTGATTTATTAAAATATATTCGGAGCACATAACCAGAGTTAGTAACCTGACATCAGAGCCATCTATCCTCTCGTTGCGGAACTCGAGCTTTGAGTCTAAAATCATAGATGGCTCTGATGTCAATTTACTAACTCTGGTTATGTGCTCCGAATATATTTTAATAAATCAAATCGGCAGTGGAAAATTCACTAATTACTCAATATCTGTGATTAATTTATGAACTTTTATAATTGCTTCGTAAAGCCAGATCCTTCAAGAACTTTCCAATATATTTTTCGATATAAATTTGTACCTAATTAATTAATTATTAATAATTGTTCTGCGCAGTGTTTGAATTGTTGCCGAAAATTGTCGAAGACGCCATTGGTTTTTCATTAATTACTATCCCTTATGCAATTAATTTATGAAGCTTTATGTATTCATTATATAAATCATGTCCTTGCGCATCTTCTCATGTCACTTTTGATCATATTTTTCTCCTAGTTTTGAATATAATTAAATATTTTACCCAATAATCATGCTCGGCGTTGTTTTCAGATTACCCACGCCATTAAATAATTATTAATAATAATCAAATTGGAAACAAATTATGTACAAAAGTTATATAAGAATGTTGCTCAGAGTTTCAACTTTGCGATAAAATTATAAAAGTTCATAAATTAATCACAAAAATTGAGTAATTTGTTAATTTCCCGTGTCGAAGCTACTCTGTCCTTTTCTATCTATCTTCTGTTCTCGTCTTTCACGTTGCATGGTTTTAGACGATCTGGCATATTTTGTGTTTCTACTATCCCGAGCTTCGAGTACAAAATCATAGATGGCATTAGTCGTTCGAACTGTTAAATTAGTACCGTATCAGTAGATTGCATTAGGAGTATATTGAGTTTATCTATTAACAGGATTCAGACTGCGCTTTATATTTTTCTACACATTTCAGACGTTTTCTTTTCATCCCTTGCTATTTTTACAATAACAGAAGAGAACATACAGTAATTATACGTAAGCAATATTTGCTATTAATCTTAACAGTTTATCTTCACCAATAATACTTTTATTAATAATTAATGTATGATTGATTGTATGGAATTTGATTACTATAAAAATCATAAATGGAGATCAAAACAACGAATAAATAACGCTGTTGTAAATACGTGAAAGAGATGCATATATACTTATGTCGTTTGTCTGCAAAATATAATGAATCATATATATATGTATTTCTTTTTTTTTTTTTTCGTTAACTGTGAAATATGAACTCCATTGCACTTGGTATCTGGATTACGCGTAGCTACGGCACTGTCAGGTATAGCACCAATGGCTGAGCGGTGGTGAAACGTCGTATATATGATACCGATGAACATCTCTATTTATTCGAATTCCAAACTGCTTCAACAATTGTGATCTATAGTTTTTCCTTTAGTAAAGCCTACAGAATACGTTACTGCGAAGGAAATTCGTGTCAGGTAAAAAACTTTTTGTAAAAATGCAAGAATAATGCATAGAAAGTATGCTCGGCAACTTATTTTTAAATTTTAATGACCAGTTGTAATTATCCAGCAATATAAATAATTATGATTATTGTACATTAATAAACTAAGGATACATTCACTTAACCTTTAAGACAAGAATGAACCCCCTAACATTGTTACTTTTTACGTAGTACCACATTTTAACCAAAAATCTTGCGTTTTAAGAAAATTCAGAATTTTCGAAAACTAAAGGTGATAGAGCAATTTCAATTATGGATTCGTTTTTTGAGAATTTAACTTTACAAGAATTACACACTGAATATTGCAGATTAAAGTTCATATTGAACAGTGTAATTAATTGAAATGTGATTATACTAATAATTAATTATTCGTAGAACTGGAATGGCTCGATACATAAAAATCAATATACTGTATATATATGAAATTGTATTATGAAATCATATTATATTAATAATTACAATTAATAATTACAGTAGTATTAAGCCGAATAATAAGTATTGAATAATGTAGAATCATTGAAGAAAATTTATTTTCGAAAAGTTATGATAAATGAACTTAGATATAAATTACAAAATATTATTAGTATGGAAAACGAGAAAAAAACAAAATATTAACGTTAAAAAATAAAAATGCAGAATTATAGAATGGAGAAGTAAGTGATGCCTCTGGTAGTACAGATTGACACTAACCTTATAGCCACGTTGATAGTGCATAAAGGTTAAGTGTCAAACGTTGAATCTATTTACTGAGATATTGACATAAATACAGTTTGTTGAAACATTTATTCAACTATATTTATTTCAAGATATTTATTTTGATTTATTTATTATAACACTTGGTAAGAAATATATTTCTACAAATATTTTTGTTGATGAGTTAGAGTTAAAATGATTAGATTGTACACAAACACTTAGGCTTCATTCTTATCATTTCGTTTCAGATAACCAGAAAAATGTATACATTCCACTATCCACATTAGTAAGACATAGATAATGGCATAAAATAATTAGACATAAATTGATATGCAAGTTCCGTTTGTTGCAGTCATTATCAACATAATAAATGTTCTATATTCTTCCGGTGATGTAAATAGAAAGGAGAACCTTTGTGCAAATTAACAAATGGAAAACTATTTAGAAGTTGTCCACAGAACAGTGCAAATCATAGAGATGACAACTGAAGTCACAGAATCAAAACCCCTCAAGAATTTGGAAGAATTATATGATAATGTGAGAAATTTGAAACCATGGCCTAATATTAAGGGTCTAAGGGAATCAACAGATTATGTGTACAATGGTTCAGAAATAAATGCACAAAAAATACAATTACAAAAGTTTGATAGAGAAAATCAACCCAGGACGTTGCTTTGTCATGATATGAAAGGCGGTTACTTAGAAGACAGGTAATATTCGTAAGATTCATTATGTTTATTATGTAATACATACATGTCATGCAAAATACATATAACTATTTTTCTCTTTCTTTTCTTTTTTTTTCAGATTTATAGATGGATCAAAATTCTATGATTCTTATATATTTTATTATTGGAGTGTCATCGATACCTTTGTGTATTTCAGTCATTATTTTATAACCATACCACCTTTTGGATGGATTAACGCAGCACATGATCATGGTGTTAAAGTGCTTGGCACTGTGATTACTGAAAGAGAAGGTATCTGGGATCATATACTTGAATCTCAGGAGGAAGTGAGAAGGTTTGCAGATGCACTAATATTTGTTGCAAAATTTTATAAATTTGATGGCTGGTTATTAAATGTTGAAAATGTCATTAAAAGTGAGCATGTTAATAATTTAATTTATTTCGTGAAATATCTAACAGAAAATATTCATCAAGCAATTAAAAATTCTGAAGTTATATGGTACGACAGTGTAACTAATGAAGGAACTTTATCTTGGCAAAATGAACTTAATAATAAAAATTTGTAAGTTTATTATTCTTATACTTTTATAATTATATCTGTTTCTAAAATTTAAATAGTACTTCGTATTATATATCTCTGATTTTTTATTTCAGAGATTTTTTTTTAAATTGTGATGGCATTTACTTGAATTATAACTGGAATAAATCGAAATTAGAAAAAAGTTACGCACTCGCAAAAAATCATAACAGAGATATTCATGATATTTATGTAGGCATAGATGTTTGGGGAAGAGGTTGTCCTGGTGGTGGTGGATTTAATTCAACATATGTAGATACAACATCAGATATTTCATGAAAGTAGATAATTAATAAATATTTACCAAAGTTACTTAATTTTGCAGGCTTTAAGAAAGATACGAGAGGAAGAACTTTCCGTTGCAATTTTTGCGCCGGGCTGGACTTATGAATATTTCGGCTCCAAAAAATTTCAAGAATTAGAGGATGTATTTTGGGCACAATTATTTTCTTATTTATACGTTCATGTACCTATTTACGAAGAAGAAGTATTTAAAACATCATTTTGCCGTGGAAGTGGTAACGCGTATTATCGTTGCGGTGAGGTACATTAAATATTCCATATTATTTATAAAAAATTTGTATTAAGTAAATATATTATAACCAACACCTAAATTTTCTACAGCTAGAATTTGACATACACGTTATAAAAGGCAAAAGTATATTCGAAGAGAAATCATTTTACAACTTATCCCTACAAAAACCACAAATTTCCGTACCTATACCGTACTTGAAATTTACATATTTTCCTCAACCTCCTGAACAAAAAAGTGAAAATGATCGAAATGAATGTGTAAAATCGGCGGTACAATACGTTTATGAAACAAGGAAATACGTTATTCGAATTTTAGAAAATAATGTAAATATTCAAAATAAAACACCGCTGCTAGACGTAAATTACTTTGAATTTTGCACTCAGTTTTCTTTCGAAGGAGGTGGTTGTTTAAAATTAATTACCAACGATCTGAAATCGTATCACAGGTAAACGTTTTGTTTTAAAGTAACTAAATTTATGATAATTAGTATAAGCTTAGATTTTATGCTAACAATGTTTTTTACATTTATTTACAGATTGTTTCTCGTCCATATCGAGTTTCAACAAGACATAGAAGCATCTATTATTTATGAAGAAATAGAATCATTTGCAGCAAATGGAAGTCGAAGTGAACCAATATTAGTTCTGGGCAATGATACCGGCTTAAAATCTATCATCCACTATAAATTGGAAAATCTGACGTCGAGATGGAAAAAATGGTAAGTTTGCAAAATATTAATCTTACTATTTGAAATACACAAAATAAAATAAATTAAAAAGACTATTGTTATCATATTAGAAAATTATGGTAACCATAAGTCACGTGTTTTCGTTACTTAAGATATACTTGTGATAATACTTCTTAAACATTTTTGCTTTATAATTAATCGGGAACGTATCGTAATAGATCTAATTAGTAATATCTAGGTTATTGATATAGCGAACATGTTAAAATTGCATGGTTCTCAGGAGTATATAACTTCAAAACAATTTTACACTTTGTCGCACTCTTGGGACCTACCACTTTGAAGTACGATATAAACTAGGACTCAAGCGTAAGTTCTCGGAAACACAATGCGAGAAACAAAATGGACTTTTTAACTTTCAAGTTAACAGCGGAAAACTTTGAAATAAAAGTACAATACAGACCAAATTTTTTAAAATTCATGTGACCTAATTTGTGCCTTTTGTTGAGAACTTGGAAAAGGTGAAATAATTTCTGAAAGTGTGTTTCTGATAATATTAATCTCACAACACACTTTGATACTTTCCTTGAAACTTTAATCTTTAACTAGGAGCATATCATTAACGCCTTTAATTATAAAATAAATATAGAAACATGAAATAGCAAGAAATATATTATATTATTTAAGCATTTATTTCATTCAAGATTTGTCCATACGATAATGTTAAAACATTAGCTTCGCGTAATAATTTCGTAACATTCGGCCTATTTAAATAAACAAATTTTCCCGCGTAAAATTACAGAATCCCATTCGAATAATTTTTGTATACTTTATATTTCCTAAACTAAAAATATTCGAACGAAAAATATGTCAATATAGAAAAGCAAACCAAAAAATCAAAATAACTTCGACATAAAGTATATACAAAAATTTCATTGCTATGTATCGCAAGGGAATGAAAAATCTAGAAGCGTCAAATAGGTTCAGTACGTGAACACCGAATCCCAAAAACAGCCTAGGAGTCACGTTCGTATCAGCAGGCAAATCCCATATTCGCAGCGTCTAACAGAGAATCTCTCTTTTTATCTTCAGTGTTTACCTGACGAGCATGAGGACCGTGAACGAGATCGGTGTATCCTTCTCGAAGAGGAACGTCTGCTATCTGGGAGAGATCATTCTGGAACAAAAGCGTCGACATCTGAACGGTAAGTCCGTACTTTGTAGTTTACACTATCGCTTGCGTTTCGTGCCCCCTCGAGAAATGTACATAGCAGGTGGATTGCGTCACGATAAAAGTGTATCGCCATAGGACGAGGTTCTCGACCGAGCAAAGAACCGTTCCATGACCATCAGATGGACAACCTGCAGCTCTCTATCTTTGAGAACCACTTTAGTGAAAGGAATACCGACGTTCCGCCATAGAACGTCTATCCAATGTAACTTATCGCTCGATATTTCATGGGTCGACTCGGCGATTATACGATAAGGCCATTTCTCATTGGTTGACCTGACGCTGTTAGCTTGAGAACATAAAGCTGATACTTCGCGGCTTTTTCTTCTCGTTTTTCCCACGTCCCTTTTCCGTTTTTCGTCATTCAAAATTTATACTCGATACTTAACTGCAATTTCAAGCCTGCCATCGTTTGGCTCACTGTTATTTCCGCGATACAAGGGTGTCTGCATTCTACGGCGGCAATTTGTTTGACGGAAGGACGAAAAATGCCCGTGAGCCTTCAGGTATGGAGAACGAACGGGGCCATATGAACGAGGTCGCGACACCATAACTTCCACCACTTTTTTCATTCATTAGTCGCATTTCATACGTTATACACGGGATATGCTTCACTCCGATCCATGGGTTCCGATTGACACGTGAACGCAGTGGTATACTGACTCCCTGATAGCAAATTGATAGTCGGATCTCTGCGGATAAAATCTTGTAATTTCATTCATGTTGTTTCGTGTTTTTGCATTTTACGTAATACTTCGTTGTGTATGGCGATTTTACGTGACTATTCGTTGAGGTGGTGAAGACTGTAGATAACACGGCGATAGCTTTATTATACTCCTTTGATGAAACAAACTCCTCAGGAAGGATTTCGAAAAGTTTAGACTCGAATTGTATCGAATTGTTTCTATAATTTGAGATTTTGTGGTGCAACAGGAAAGGGTAAATTATTTATGATAATTGCATTTTTTTAAATGGGCTGCAATGATTTTTTGTGGAATCGTAGTTAGTTTGGCAATAAATGAGATTTTACTGAATATCGGTAAATGAGGGGTAATAAACAAATAACGTAATTGAGATAAGCGTGCACAATTAGCTGCAATAAATGTGCTGGTTACATGAACATTTAATTGAAGTAATAATTCACTATTTTATTACGATTTGCCGTATAATGTCGCTTAATGATTTACCACATGAAATTATTACGTTCATTTTATCGTACAAACAAAAACTTTTCTATAGGTTACCGGTGGCCTAAGGTGCCCAGGACGTATGAAATATCGTTCGATTTAACCTGAGAAAAATTGTGTCGATATAACGATGTATTATCATGCTACGTGATCGAACAGTGATCCATAATTTTTGCGACTGACAAGTCGCTCGTTTTAAAATTCATGTCACATTGTATTACAAATCTTGACAATGCACAACACCCACTTCGAAACGAACGGTAGTTGTAAGGAGGACAATCTGGTTGGCATTATTTGCGGGTATAGGTGTCGATGACATGCGAAATGTCTGCAATTGTGGGATGTGGCACGTTCCACGTGTCCTATTTCAATTTTAAATTAGTCGTGGGTTATTATTATTAGCGTGTGATATTACAGAATTTAGCGTGATCCGTACCAATGTCGCATAATTTCTTCTAATTTTCCTGAAACTTTCATTATACAGTTGATGGTGCCAGAGATTACGAAAGTGATCTATGTCACATATATTTTGATTTCGAATATTAAAAGCTTTGCGCTTGATATCTATCTATGTGCTTTCCTATCGTGGCAAGATTAGGTTAATAATACTCAACGAGAACTTCTACTCTTAACTATATTTTAAATTTCTTAATCCTTTGCGAAGGGAGCGGTTTTGAGTAAATCGTATCGTGGGGCCGATAGTCATTCAAAACTACCAGCGCTCATTTCCACTTAAACGCGATTTTCGTTCATAGCGACGCTACCAATAAGGACATAAAACAGTCCACCATTTAACTTGGGACATGCGGTCCTAGGGCCGTAACAGCGGACGCATATATGTGTTTCTCGGCCATAGCAACGTGTTTACGTGGGACACATTTATGAGCCCCACGGCCCTATCAGTTGTTTTCGCCGAACGCATATATGAGTTCCTCGGCCAAATTGATGGTTTCCGCCGAATGCACACATGCAGCGCTCGTCTGCAAAGGGTTAATGGTATTGCTGGATGACCAACGGTCAGTTGACTCTTAGTCATTGAAAGGACCCAGCTGATAAAGGCAGACCGACGTCAGAGGTCAAAGCATCTTACTCATTTCTACCTTGACTAAGGACCAATGATCATTTTCACCCCTCCAAAAAGTAAGAATATATAACCACCCCCGAAAGCAGTACGAAAGCAGTTCTTATTCTTCTCCATCGATGCATAGTTATTGTATTTTCTGACGTAGCCTCGTTACAGAATTCATATTGTATATAGAAATGTTCCGAAATATATTACAAAAGATTAATCGGTCTATAACGTTCTCAATCCGGGTTCCAACAGTATAAAGGGGGTTCAAGTTTTTTCTTGGTGCGTGCTACACGGTGAACTGCGGAAAAGTGATCCTTCGAACCCTTCAGCGAGGTTCCCATAAGCTCTATGACATCTGCTCATAGCGTTATTCAGCCTAGCTTCGAAGATCCGCTCAGCTTATAAATTTTCCTCGAAACTAAAATAAGTCCCGATGCAGGATGTCGTCATCGAAAATAAAGATTCCTCTCACGCTATCTTTCTTTGGGAGTTCGAGTTACCCCAAATTCACCCTCTAACTACCTCCATGAAATCCTTCGGTGCGTGTGAAAAGGCAATCGGAGTAAACTTGGACTGCATGTGTGACAGCAAGAGCCGATATCGTTTGAAACTGTAACCAACAATAATCAGCAGTTTCACTGACCACGGTGATAAAGTTAGCGTTAGGAATTTTCGGGTGTGCAGCAGTCACTAATGGACGCCATTCATTTACGGGCTGTGATGTTCTCGAAGCGAACAGCCACGGGCTTGTTGGTCGTTTGTTTTAGCAGTCACATCGCGAACGAGCAACCCAAATTACGTTCTCTCTCCGCCGTGTGTCGCAACAACCGACTATTTGTAATCGGAGAATGCGACCGGCTCATTGATATTCCTGCGGTTATCGGGTCGAATTTTTCTGCGGTTCTACCTGCCGTTACACTTTGCATTATAAGACTTCTTTCTTCCTTTCTTTCTTTCTTTTCATTCGCGTCGTCGTTTCACCCGTCAGTTACGTCAAGCAGGTACGCGTATACGCTGGCACACGGTTGCTTTCGATTTGCATGTAACCTTTTCGAGCGCATTGTTCTCCTATTTTTCGACTCGCACGTGGGCACAGTGGTCTTCTAACTTGTGCGTAGCAAACAGGTTCGCACGATGAGAAGGATGATAGAGTGATCGAGATCCTTGGATACGTTGCGAGTCTTTAGTCTGAGTTTCTTTTGGAATCTCGTATTAGCTCCGAATTGGATATGCGAAGACGATATTGGAAGTGTCTAACTGAAAGCAGATTTTAGATTATTGAATAATTTATGTTTGAAAAACGATGTCAATTTCCAGGTCTCACCACGTGCAGGTGGCTACGCATAGAAACTCTGGCTTTAGGGGCCTTACAATGAACGCCCTATTGGCACCCTTTTGTACCAAAGATAATCCTATTTAACATAGAGCAAAAGCTATTTTCGCTATAGCAGTTAAACAATGTGTCCAGAAGTGTGTCCCGTAGAACCCTTTGGCAAGATCTTTATAGGCCCTATGACAACCCTTTGTATTACTGAACCCAGCTTCTAGAATTGATAAGCTAGATGGTTCCTCGAAGCAAAGATAGATCTCGATACAGGGTAACACCATCCAAATAAGATTCCTCTTATATTATACATTATTGAATATATAGTCGTAGCCTGTGACCACTGTCACCCCCATTGCACCATTATCCACCCCAATGGAACTTTAGATCCGTCTGATCCAAAGTCAAACCTGCAGATAACTTGTTACGATTGTGCGATCTTTATATATCAGCGATCGACCGAAATAGACCAAAAGGTAATGATCGTCACCGATTCTTCTAATAATTATTTTTCCGCTATAATATCCAATAATTCGCCAACTTTTTCACTGAAATTTTTCACCAAAGTCAGTGAATATATAAGATACACCGACTGTATCAATACTTCAATGCTGAAGTATCTTAGATACCGCAAAACTCCGTTTACCCCTTACGGGATCTTACATACGATAAAATAAATGAATGGGAAACACTCTCACTCAATACACACAGAGGAACATCTGATTAATTTCAAAGAAGATTAAATTGTAGTATTGTTTGCGAAGAAGAAATGAAAGAAATCATCGTAATTTCCCAATATTCATCGAAATTATACCAAAATAATCCTAAGCCGTCCAAGCATAACCCTTGTTCGAGCAATTCGAAAATCAAGCAGCGTAAAAGTAAAATTCATTTCACAAGTGGGGCGATAAACGGTACAAAAATGGCGTTTCGCTGCGCGAGCAAAGCTATCGGAAAAATACGATAAAACGCCAGACGATGACGCGCTATGGCACAATAATGGTTCGTTATCTCGATACTAGATGCTCGTCCGACAGGAACTATGATATTTTTAAGGTCCTCGATACGGTGTTTAAATTACGTCAGAGATGATCAGCTCGTACGATTCGCGGAACATATAATCATCCGCAGCCAGGATCAGCTCTGTCATGGTCGATAAAGCGAAAGAATGTCGTCTCTGGTCCTTAAGGTATTGCATAAACGTTCTTTCGCAAGTATTCCAGCAGTATCCTCAGCGACGTTTCTTTCTTGCTGAGCGACCGTGTTTACGACGGAAGATCGATGACTTCTCTCTTCCGTCATTGACATCGTGTTGGCGCATCTTCCAGCTTCCATCCGCGTGTAGGAAGCAACAAAGTGGGTGTTGAACTCCGTTAGAAGCGTTTCACAGG